CTGATTAAAAACTGAATGCTCATTAGGGCTTTAAATTTAAGTATTAGAGCTGTCCGAACTGAAGATTTAAACTTCATTACTTCCTGTTCACTGCTTCTCTACAATTACCGGTGGAGCGGATATATTTTTGGCAACAGATCACTTAGTCTGCAGTGGTTAAAGGTCCAACCATACATGTGTGATGTAAACAGGCACTTGTGGTGAAATTAGGCAGACAGCTGCGGTATAGTTATATCTTTTTAGAAGGAATAACATAATGCCCATATTTAAATTACCAACATACAGTGCTCAGCATAAATGAGTACACCACTTTTGAAAAGTAAGATTTTAATCAATATCTCAATGAACACAAGAACAATTCCCAAAATGTTGACACAACTGAGTTTTATAGAACATTTGTTTAGCTCATTACATGAAAGTAAGGTTAATAATATAACTTGGATTACAAAATCTTCAGTTTTACTCAAATTAGTTGATGCAAAAATTAATATTCCCCACAACAAAAACTACTACATCTAGTATTTTATATGACCTCCATGATTTGTAAGGATAGCACCAAGGTATGGAATGAACAAGTTGGTGGCATATTGCAATATCAATCTTTTTCCATGCTTCAAGAACAACCTCTTTTAGAGCCTGGATGCTGGATGGAGAGTGATGCTCAACTTGTCTCTTCAGAATTCCCCATAGGTGTTCAATTGGGTTCAGATCAGGAGACATACTTGGCCACTGAAACACTTTCACCCTGTTCTTCTTCAGAAATGCAACCTTGGCCTTAGATGTGTGTTTTGGATCATTGTCACGTTGGAAAAGTGCACGGTGACCAAGGGCACGGAGTGATGGTAGCATTTTCTCTTTCAATATAGAGCAGTACATCTGTGAATTCATGATACCATCAATGAAATGCAGCTCCCCGGCACAAGCAGTACTCATGCAACCCCACAGAAGAACACTGCCAACACCATGTTTCACTGTAGACACCATGTATTTTTCTTTGTACTCTTCACCTTTGTGACATCATACAGTTTGGAAGCCATTAGTTCCAAAAACATTTATCTTGGTCTTATCACTCCAGAGTACAGATTCCCTGTAGTCTTCTTTTTCAGTATGTGGCAAATTTTAGGCAGGCTTTTTTTTTTTGCATGTGCTTTAGGAGAGGCTTCCTTTGTGGACAGCACCCATGCATGCCATTTCTATGTAAATATTATGCATGCATCATACATACTAGGGGGGTACAACTGGGGGAATCAATGGTGGAGAAGGATCTGGGAGTTCTGGTAGATCACAAGCTTAATAATTGCATGCAATGTTAAGCTGCAGTTTCTAAAGCAAGCAAAATCCTCTCTTGTATTAAAAGAGGTATAGACTCCAGAGAGAGAGAGATCATATTACCCCTGTACAAATCATTAGTAATACCTCATCTGGAATATGCAGTTCAGTTTTGGGCACCAATTCACAAAAAGAACACAGGGAACTGGAGAACGAACAGAGAAGGGCAACCAAACTGATAAGAGGCATGGAGGAACTGAATTTATTCTCACTTGAGAAGAGGAGATTAAGGGGGGATATGATCAACATGTATAAATACATCAGTGGTTCATATCGTGAACTCGGTGTAGAGTTATTCACCCTGATGACATCACAGAGGACAAGAGGGCACTCTTTAAATCTGGAGGAAAAGAAATTTAATCTCTAAACATGGAAAGGTTTCTTCACAGTGAGAGCTGAGAAAATGTGGAATAGACTCCCTCAAGATTTGGTTCTGGCCTGCTCAGTGGATTGCTTCAAAAAAGGCCTGGATTCTTTCCTAGATACACAGAATATAACTGGCTACTAACATTTATAGGTAAAGTTGATCCAGAGAATATCCGATTGCCTCTCCGGGGATTAGGAAGGACTTTTTGTTTACCTGCATGAGCAAATTGGATCATGCTTTGCTGGGTTTTTTTTTTTTTTTCCTTCCTTCCTCTGGATCAACTGTGGGTATAGGATTATAACTTTTTTTTTTTTAATGGTTGAACTGGATGGACTTTTGTCTTTTTTCAGCCAGGCTAACTATGTAACTATTATTTGCAGTGTATGCCTTAATGTGTCATGGGAAACAATAACCCCAGTTTGGCTTTCTGCTTTAGCTAACTGCAGTGAACTTGCATGGCGATTATCTTCAACCCTTTTCATCAGAAGATGCTTCTGTCGAGGTGTTAACTTCCGTAGATGGCCTGGACATCTCTGTGAGATGGTTGCAATTCCATATTTGTTAAATTTTTGTACCGCTTTTGATACAGTATTTTAACTGACAAGTAAAGCTTTGCTGATCTTCTTGTAGCCTTCACCTTTCTTGTGTAAAGAAATTATGTTCATTCTCAGGCCTTGCGGCCTTCTCTTCCATGCGGTGCCATTGCTGACAACATGAAATGGGAAGGGGTTTTCTTTGTTAAGTAATGCCCTTTTATAATCAGCTGTCTGCTGGACACCTGTTTAATGAATAACTAGACTCACCTGTAGTTGAATTCTTGTTAATTAGGATTTTATTGTCTAAAATTTAGCTTTGCTCTTAAGACTTTTGTTGGGGTGTCTTCATTTTTGCAACATGGTCTTCAATGAATTTGTTAGGAAAATACTTTTTTGTGTGTGCAAATTAACAAATCTTGTGTGCAATCAATGGCCCACATTTGTATTTTGTAGCATAGTGTCCCATAAACGTTGATTATGAAAGTAAAGGAAAGGTTTTCTGACAAATCTGTTGGGGTGTACTCATTTATGCTGAGCACTGTAGCAGTGTTTAAATTGTTTAAAGTGTTTCAATTGTAAAACCAAAAAAAATCATGATCCTATGGATCATTGCATAGATATGCTCCTATAAAATAAATATGTGTAAAGGGAACTGAGCTATTTGTCAGCATTATTTACATATAAATTAATTAGATGTATTAATTTAAACCAACCCAATCTCCCACCTGGTAAATCATATAAAACATCCAATTATTCAAAACCAGAGAAAGCATTTTCATAGATTTTACCTACCCAGTTCAAGCATATAACTGGCTTTCAGAGAAGCTGTTGTTTCTCTTTCACGGGGATCAAGAATTTTACTGCTGTGAGAACTTTCAAGATTTTTTTTTTTGTGAAAAAGTATATTTTAGATTTTAAAATGTATGCAAATGTTTTCCTGTTTTGTATAAGGAGAACCAGCCTTAATACTGGACAAGTAAAGGCTGAATTCAATGAGAACCACAAAGATTACACCCATAGCTAAATTTATCATTTGTTGAGACTGGAAGTCAAAGTATAACTTTCTCCAGCTGACTAAGAATCTTTGGTTGGTTGAAAATCTGCAGTGTAGAAAGGGCAAACAGTGTTAAAGGGGATGCAGGTGCTAAAAGATACATTTTTAAAAGCTAACTGCACCTTTAAGACCATGTTACGCGTTTCACCGCATTTAGGATGTAATATGTAGCATGGAGCAGTTAGAGCTCATTAGAGCATTTACAGCCAAACAGGACGGGTGCACTGTCCTGGACACTGTCTGTCTGCTTCCAGGGCTGTGCATCCATCCCTATGTGTATGCTCAGTTCCTCAGATTTAACAGGGTGCTTTCTCCATTTTTAACAGGCATCGGTGTTCCGATTTACAGAATATCGTTGCCTCCTGGGCACATAAGCATGACTCTTTTGCAGGTTGTATGGGTCTCTGTACCTGTGTGAATGACCCTCAGCCCTACAAATGGCCAGGATTGAGTAACAAAATAACACCATCCATAAACTTTAATAGGGGTTTCCCCAAAGTTCACAAACGTCAAAATATGAGCAAGCTTTGTGAAACTGTTCAAGAACCAAACAAAAGCAGTTTCGCTCATCCATAACTGTGAGGTAGATTATCTCTCCAGCATCTATAAAAACTGAATTATCACTTAGAGATGTATCCATACTGTAACTACTATATAAATAAATCAATAAATTACCCAAGTTTCATTCCAAACCACCCCATCCAAATTCAGAATTAAAATATAAATCTAGAAATAACAATGATACAAAATATTAAATATCTACAATAAAATAATTAACATCTAGAACTATATGAGACCCTAAGGAATGGAAAATATCTAACAAAAATATCAATTTGGTCTACTGTTTTATGTCCTTTTTCATGTTGGAAACTCTCTAATGTTTAACCACGTATCTAAATGAATAGTGAAGTGGTTGACACTTATTTTTGCAGTGCAGTGTATAAACAACACTGCAGAAATCCCCTTCGGATAGCCAGTGCTGTTAACAGTTGTGAAAGAGCCATCGTCAGGAAGCTCAGTTCACAGACACAGTGTACAGAACCAATTTAAGCAGCTCCGTACCATGTGGTTGCTGTTATGACCAATCACAATGATTGCAGATGTAAACAGTGTAGTGTGTACATTTGAGAGCCCACTCCTTCCTCTTACAATGAGGAAGGGGAGGAAGGAAGAACTAATCAATGAATAAACCATTTATTAGTTTCAGATCAGTGACTGCAGCAGATTGAGGGTGGGGGGCAGGGGTTGATAGTGAGACTGTTTTTTAACATTTTTTCAACCCCCTCCTCTTCTTTATCTCTGATCTGCATTAAGTTTCAATGTGACCAGTATATTAGCCCTTCACTTCCTGTATGCTGATAGGATGATATGGAGGTCCAATGAACCTAAAACTATGTAGAGAGACTGTGAAACTAGGAGATCATGGGTGGTGATGTATTTGACAAAACACATCACAGTTTAAGGCACATTATCAAAAAGCAGAGGTATCACAAATGTGGTTGCATTAATAGATAGGAAGATACCAATCTGCTAGACACCAAACTCACCTAATTTACATATCCAAAATGCTGCTAAGACACATTAGACTTTCAAAGAGAAATAAGCATAACATACATTATATTGTCAAAAGTAATGGGACGTCCTTGCAAATCATTGGATTCAGGTGTTCCAATCACCTCCGTGGCCACAGGAGTAGAAAAGCAAGTACCTAGGCATGCAGACTGCTTCTACAAACATTTGTGAAAGAATGGGTCGCTCTCAGGAGCTCAGTGAATTCAAGCGTGGTAGTGTGATAGGTTGCCACCTGTGCAATAAGTCCATCTGTGAAATTTCCATGCTACTAAATATTCCATGGTTAGCTGTTAGTGTTATTCTAACAAAGTGGAAGCAACTGGGAACAACAGAAACTCAGCCAAAAGTGGTAGGCCAAGTAAAATGACAGAGCGGGGTCAGTGCATGCTGAAGCGCACAGCGCACATAAGTCACCAACTGTCTGCAGAGTCAATAGGTAAAGACCTCCAAACTTTGTGTAGCCTTCAGATTAGCATAACAGTGCATAGAGAGCTTCATTGAATGCGTTTCCATGGCCGAGCATCTGCATCCAAGCCTTACATCACCAAGTGCAATGCAAAGTGTCGGATGCAGTGGTGTATAGCATGCCACCACTTGACTCTAGAACAGTGGAGACGTGTTCTCTAGAGTGACAAATCATGCTTCTCTGTCTGGCAATCCGATGGACATGTCTGTGTTTAGCGGCTGCCAGGAGAACGGTATTTGCCTGACTTCATTTAGCCAAGTGTAAAGCTTGCTGGAGGGGGGATTATGGTGTGGGGTTGTTTTTCAGGGGTTGGGCTTGGCTCCATAGTTCCAGTGAAGGGAACTCTTAAGGCGTCAGCATACCAAGACATTTTGAACAATTTCATGCTCCCAACTTTGTGGGAACAGCTTGGGGGTGTCCCTTCCTGTTCAAACATGATTGCGCACCAGTGCACAAAGCAAGGTTCATAAAGACATGGATGAGCGAGTTTGAGGTGGAGGAACTTGACTGGCCTCACAAATGTGCTTTAGACAATCCTAAACCTTGTGGACAGCCTTCCCAGAAGAGTTGAAGCTGTTAAAGCTGCAAAGTGTGGGCCAACTCAATTCTGAACCCTATGAACTAAGACTTTGATGCCATTAAAGTTCACGTGGGTGTAAAGGCAGGCATCCCAATATTTTTGGCAATATAGTATATTTAGTATCTAACAAATTGCATATCTATAAATGTTGCTAAATGTAGATATATGGTTTAAATTGCACAGTTGGAGTATGTGTTAATTGTTAGCGATCCCTAAGGTTTTTTTTGTTTGGCTCGCAAGTTACACACACCTGTGTTTTGTAATCTAACAAATTGCAATTTCATTCTATTAAAGCAAAACTAAATTGCATCTGAACACCAGAAACCAAAAATATTATTTCATTCATTTTTAATATTCAAAACAAACTCCCCTATCCATCCATTCCCCTAGCTTTTCTGGCCATGGACATCTTGAGTAAAGGCAGATGATTCATGTAGCATTTATTTTCTGGAATCCCTCTGCACTTAGCTAAATCATACAGGCAGGAGGGTGTGCTTAGCTGAGAAAACTGCTCCTGAAGACTCCTCGGAGTTATTACATAATTTTCAAGAAACCAGGAAATAACTTAAGAAACTGAAAAAGTTTAAAGCAAGTAAATATAATGTATGTGTAGGCAGATGCAGTCTGCTTCCTCTGCTATAGATGGCGCTCAATGGAGCGGTACCATGGCTGGAGAGGAATTCAGGGGAAACCTGGTTTCTCTATGGTTTTCTGGTTTCCTGAGGCTACTCTGTATTCAGGTGGTCCCTGGCAGCCATCTTGGGTCAGTGAAAAAAGAAAATAGGCGTACACGATTGAACCTCTCAAAGTTCAATCAATAGATGAAATTAGCTAAGAAATAGTCCAAGGTTCTGGAGAACAGTGATATGAAGATTAAAAAAGTTCAATCCATATACCAGGGCTGGCTTTTCTCAAGAGCAGAATCTGACTCTAAAATTGTGGAGGCAAAAGGAACAAGAGAAGTACCTCAAAAATGTAGACTGTTGCATGTTTTAATGAATACACAACTCACATAGTATACTTGACAAAGAAGATTCATCAATTGTAAAATCCCCATTGAGGGTCGCCACTGCAGGGTGGATGGAGCTAGATGAAGCTTCATCTATTGTTCCTTTTGCTGCCATCTTGGGTTAGCAGAGCCTTTTTAAGTGCCTGCCCCCAGGTTTTGTCAAGCAGAGGATAGAAGAGGAAAAGAGCAAACATCTGTCAGGGAAAGTGATAGAGGCAGGGAGAGGTTCCTGGCAAAGAGGGACAAGCTAGGGACATGCCATACTATTTCAGAAGGCTCACAATTGGGACAGGACAGTCCAGTCCACATTCTGTCCTTCAAGACAGACACTGTCGGTGCATCTGATCCTGCTGTGTTCTAAAGTCACTGTGAGTGCTTCCTGGTGTGGCGATCTCCCACTGGACTGCCTGTTGAGTCTTTCCTTTAATAAAAGTTCTTGTTCCTGCAACCGGACTCTGTGTAATTACTATGCCGCAGAACGCTGCACCTACTCACATACTTTCCTATATATTTACTAATGCTAATGAAACTAGTCAATGTTGACAGAGAGTGAAGTTCCACTTTAAATAATATGTTGGTTGTCAGATTTTTGTACCTTGTCATGTGGATATATATACAGTATATATATACACATATATTTCCACAATCGACACAATTCGTGATGAGATTGTCAGTGTCAAGCTTCCTCCTCTAACCAACATACCAAGCCCAACACTAAGCTCAACACTCTCCTCCTTCGACCCTGTTACCACCAAGGAAGTTACCGAACTCCTTTCCAAGGCCCACTTCACCACCTGTCCCCTGTCCCCTCATGACTGTTGCAGCCTCCTTCCTGCTCTATCCTAAACTTTCTAACCCACATCTTCAACCTCTCACTCTCCATGGGCACCTTTCCCTCCCCACTCAAACATGCACTGGTTACCCCCATTCTCAAAAAACCTAGCTGAACCCCACCTCTTTGAATAACTTAAGACCCATCTCCCTGCTCCCGATTGCCTCCAAGCTTCTCAAGCGCCTTGCTCACAACCGTATGAACTGCTACCTCACCGACAACAACCTTCTTGATCCCCGACAGTCTGGCTTCCGCCCACAACATTCCACAGAAACTGCCCTACTAAACTCACTAATGACCTACTAATTGCTAAAACCAACGGCCATTACTCCATACTCATACTCCTTGACCTTTCCGTTGCCTTTGAACAGTCGACCACCCACTCCTCTTCAGTAAACTCCACTCCACCGGCCTCCGTGACTCTGCTCTCTCCTGGTTCTCCTCTTACCTTTCTCAGTGCACTTTCAGTGTCACATGCAACTCCTCCTCCTCCGCTCTTCCTCTTTCTGTTGGGGTACCCCAAGGTTCTGTCCTTGGGCCCCTCCTTTTCTCTCTCTATACCCCCTCCCTGGGCCAACTGATAACCTTCCATGGCTTGCAATACCACTTCTATGCTGATGACACCCAGATCTATCTCTCCACTCCCCAGCTCACCCCCTAAATCTCCTCAGGTATCATAAATCTACTAAGCAACATATCAGCATGGATGTCACATCACTACCTTAAACTCAATCTTTCAAAAACTGAGCTTGTAATCAGGGGCGGACTGACAACTCATGGGACCCCCGGGCAATAGGGGATCATGGGGCCCCTGTGTCCTTGCCCAAACTCAAAAAAGCCTATGAAAAAGATACCAGGGGCATCTCATGGGGCCCCCTACTGACCCCGGGCCCTCGGGCAGTGCCTGAGTTTCCAAATCTTCAGTCTGCCCCTGCTTGTAATATTTCCTCCTCCCCGATCCCCCACTCATGACTTTACCATTAAGATCAACAGCACAACCATTGGTCCTTCCCCTCATGCCAGGGTGCTAGGCGTAATCCTAGACTCTGACCTCTCCTTTGGGCCCCACATCCACTCACTGGCTAAATCCTGCTGCCTCAACCTCTGGAAAATTTCCAAAATCCACCCCTTTCTGACCAATGACACCACAAAACAACTTATCAACTCCTTGGTTATATCCCACCTTGATTACTGCAACTCCCTCCTCACTGGTCTACCATTACACAGGCTATCCCCCCTTCAGTCTATTATGAATGCTGCTGCTAGGCTCATACACCTTACCAACCGATCAGTGACTGCTGCCCCTCTCTGCCAATCCCTTCACTGACTTCCACTAACCCAACATATAAAATTCAAAATACTAACCACAGCTTACAAAGCCATCCATAACACTTCCCCTAGCTACATCGCCAACCTCATCCACAGACACCACCCAAATCACCCATTCCGCTCCTCCCAAGATATCTTCGTCTCTAGCTCCCTCATCACCTCTTCCCATGCTCACCTCCAGGACTTCTCCAGAGCCTCTCCCATCCTCTGGCACTCCCTACCACAGCATGTCCAGTCAGCCCCCCCCCTGTCTGCCTTTAGGCGATCTTTGAAAACTCACTTCTTCAGGGAAGCCTACCCTACCTCCACCTAAGAACTGTACTTGAATCTCCTGCACCAGATCATCCCCCGCAGCTATCACCTTTTGTATCACCTCCCCCTTCCTTTAGATTGTAAGCTCCACGAGCAGGGCCCTCACATTCCTTCTGTACTGAAATGTATTGTAATTGTACTGTCTCCCTTATATTGTAAAGCGCTGCGCAAACTGTTGGCGCTATATAAATCCTGTATAATAATTTCCACACGACATATGCATACACACAGTCATGGCCAAAAATATTGGCACCCGCGCATTCCTGTCAGATAATGCACCACTTTGCCCAGAAGATTTTTGCAATTACAAATGTTTAGGCATTCTCATGTTTATTTCTTTTGTTTGTATTGGAATGACACAAAAAAGTGGAGAAACAAAAAGCCAAATCTGAATCATTATACGCAAAACCCCAAAAACTGGACTGCACAAAATTATTGGCACCCTCAATTTAATATTTGGTAGCACACCCCTTGGAAAATATAACTGAAATCAATTGCTTCCTGTAACCATCATTGAGTTTCTTAAACCTTTCTACTGGAATTTTGGACCACTCTTTTGCCATCTGCTCCAAGTCTCCCAGATTGGAAAGGTTCCTTTTCCCAACTGCTCTTTTGAGATCTCTCCACAGGTGCTCCATGGGATTGACATCTGGACTCATTGCTTGCCAGTTCAGTACTCTCCAATGCATTGTCGGAAGCCATTTCTGGGTGCTTTTGGCGTGTGCATTGAGTCATTGTCCTACTGTATGACCCATGACCTCTGACAAAGACCCAACTTTCTGACACTGGGCCCTACATTGCACCCCAGAATTCTTTGGTACTTTTCAGATTTCATAATGCCATGCACACGGTCAAGACATCCAGTGCCTTAAGCAGCTAAGCAACCCCAAAACATCAGTGAACCTCCACCATGTTTGACTGTAGGGACTGTATTCTTTTCTTTAAAGGCCTCATTTCTTTTTGTGAAAACAGTAGAATGATGGGCTTTACTAAAAATCTGTAATTTTGTTTCATCTGTCCATAGTACATTCTCCCAAAAGGATTTTGGCTTCCTCAGGTATGTTTTGGTAAATTCCAATCTGGCTTTTTTATCTTTCTGTGTCAGCAGTGGGGTCCTCCTGGGTTTCCTACCATAGCGTCCTTTTTCATTAACGATGTATAGTGTGAGCTGACACAGCTGTACCCTGTGCCTGAAGGTCAGCTTGAATTTGTCTGGAAGTTGATCAAGGTTCTTTATCTACCATTTGAACAATCCTTTATTGCAATCTTTGATCAAGTTTTTTTCTTTCATCCACGTCCAGGGAGATTAGCTATAATACCATGG